ATATATATATATATATATATTTACAGTACCTCCGATTCTTGCAGTGACAATGAAAAGCAAAAAAATAAATCAGACAGAAGCGAAAGCAAACAGAGATGTCAGCTGGAGACTAAGACCGGATCAGCTAAATGAGAGTCGTATTACACACAATTTGCCATCGATGCAAGATGCTGTGGCACTTATTTATTTTGTGCCGCTATGCTGCGCCTGCACTGATTAGCTACTGGTAAACCTCGCCTGTCACCGGCGGTTAAAGAGAAAGAGGGGGAAGAAAAGAGAAGGGAAGCAGGAGGAGGTGGGATGAGTCTTCTGAAACATTTGACGCTTGAAACATGTCAAGCTTCAGTAATGACTGCTAATGTGCATGAACGGAAAGCTCAAGCTAACTCACATGGAAAAGAAGAAAAACTGCACAAAACCCATCCATGGCTTATATCAGCTGTGGCAGGATGGTGGTCAAATATTTATGTGATTATTGTGCTCATGCATATGTGTCTGGCAGAACGAATCACGTTCAAAGATGCATGCGGTGTGCTGAGTGTTGAAATCATGTGGATTGAGAAGGACTATAGAGTTGTGGTCTCTTTTAAGCTTAACATAATTTCTCACTTCACTAACTCAGGGTCATAATCTCAGCTGCTGCTGATTTACTGTCACATTAGGAGTCAAATCAAAGCGACTTAAGTGAATTTTTATGTCTTCTTGGAGGATTTTTGCTTCTAAAAAGCAGTTTTATTTTAGCGAGTCACAGTAAGGATGGATTGACACCGAGCACAAAGTACATGAGGAGTTTCAGGGGGTTCAACTTGGCTAATCTGTTGAGGTTCATCATCAGGGCACCTGTTTGAAAACCATCAATATTTTATTCACTTCAATAAGGTGAAGCTAATGGCAAAGAAACACTACAGATTAAAGTTTTGAACTACAGTTAAATTTGTGTATTTTTTTAAATTTGTGTATTTTTTAGTAACTTTTAAACTTATCTTTGAAATGTTGCTTGTAAAAACAATTTATGGACTGGGTTCATATGTATCACAGTTTCTTCAAAAATATTAAGCAGAACAACTGTTTTCAGTGTTGATAATAAAAAAAAAATGCTTCTTGAGCATCAAATCATGATTTCTGAAGGATCATTTGACACTGAAGACTGGAGTAATATCTGCTGAAAATTCAGTTTTGTCATTACAGAAATAAATTACATTTTAAAACATATTCACATAGAAAATAGTTATTTTAAATTGTAATAATACTTCACAATATTGCGGTTTACTGTATTTTTGATCGAATAAATGCAGCCTCCGTGAGCATAAGGAACTTGATTCAAAAACATAAAAAAAACAACAACTTTGAACAATACAATAAAAACCTTTGAACAGTAGTGTATATATAAAATGTGCACCCTGGTCTGGGGACAAAAAAGCGCAGACCTGGTTGGAGTCTGGATCAACAAAGGATCAAATGACATAGTGTGAGAGGAAAATCAATGAACACATTTCTGCCTCAGTCACTCGTAAAGAGCCACTAAACACTATTCCCTTTCCCTGTCCACTGACCCCACTTACCCGTGCCATGTTACAGATCCTAAAAATGCGATTGATAATGTCCTCGTCAATGTCAGCGGAGATGAATTCAGCCTGAATGGGGCCGTAGCAGCAGGAGCCTTTTTCTGGCCAGTACTGCATGCAGAGCTGCAGCGAGGGAGAGAATTACAGCAAATCAGTACACTGAACAGAAGTTCACATCCAGACAACGTGACTCAATAATGTACTTTGAAATCTAAAGAGTGCAAGAGAAAATGGAAATAACTCAATAATTCTAAAGTCCACTAATCTGAACTCAAATTGCAGTGTGCCAAAGAAATCTGTTCCAATGATCTCTTACTTACTCAAACTTAAATGAGCCACATTATGATGAATCCAATTTCCCTTGATCTTCTCAGATAAAAGAATATAAGAATATACTGTAACTTTCAGAACTCCAATCTTCCACCCAACTGAAAAAAGACCATTTATTGAAACTAAACAACTGAAACATCTAATTTATAACTTTTCTGACATTTCTGGAAAAAAGGTTATGTTATAAAAAAAGTTGCATCATTTAAAAAAAAAATTATATTAGTTATATTTCATATATATACTACCATTCAAAAGTTTGGGGTTTGTACTATTTTATGCTCAACAAGGCTAAATTTATTTAATTAAAAATATAGTAAAAACAGCAATATTGTGAAATATTATTACAATTAATGTGGCTGTTTTACTGTATATTTGAATATATTTTAAAAGGCAATTTATTATTATTGGCAAAGCTGAATTTTCAGCATCATTACTCCAGTCTTCAGTGTCACATGATCCTTCAGAAATCATTCTAATATGCTGATTTGCTGCTCAAAAAACATTTCTTCTTATTACCAATGTTGAAAATGGTTGTGCTGCTTAATATTTTTGTAGAATTCTTTTTTTAGAAGTCTTTAATGAATAGAAGGTTCAAAAGAACAGCATTTATTTGATCAATAATGTAAAACTTTTGATCAATTTATTGTGTGCTTGCTGAATAAATGCATTCATTTCTGTAAAAAAAAAAAAAAAAAAAGAGCCCAAACTTTTGAACGGTAGCGTACACTTTATATAATAAATCCCATCTTCCAACATCCAATTGCAATAGATAACAAATGGAGGTGAGGGTCAAGTACTTCACATACCTGTGCAGCATCCATTTCATTCAGCATCACAATAGTGGAGCAGTTGTAGTCGAACACTAGCCTCCAGAAGTCGGCCACAGTGTTGGGCAGAGGGTGCTGCGTTACGATGAACGCCGCCGGCTGTTTGTGGCTCTAAGACAATCAATAAGAGAACAAGTTAACTCTTCCTTCCAGCACTGAAGATGTGCCTGAACCCAACACATCCCAATGTGCCTCACATGTGTAATGACCGAAACTAAACAGAGACCTGCAGAGGGACAGGAACACAGAGACGGAGTGATAACCTTGCCAAGGGATTCATTGACAAGGACTGCAGAGACTTCGTTTGAGACAAACACACACGCTCTGCTAGCACGGGTCGGCAGTTCATTTCATTTGGCTGCTTATCTTCTTTTTTTTATCTTGTTGTTCTTTATCTGAGGTGTGTGTCTTCTGTCTTGATTATTCTTTTTGGATGCTGCGTGAAGATGCTGGTTTACGGTACGAGTGTGATTATGATCTATGTGTGGAGATTACGGAGATGTGATCTAATCATGTACTGTTAAATTGGCTTGTTTATATGAGATTGTTACTGTGTGATCTCCTGGCCGTTCTGCTCCGCTTACCTGGGATTTATTAGAGTGCACTATGGGAAGTGCTGTAATATATAATGTTTGAGTTATTTACTATAAACCATACTGCAAGTTTTAGAACTCAAAAAATTGCTCCTTAGTCCAAATAAACCATTTATCAACACTGAGCTGCAAAAAACAACTTGTTTTTCAATATTCATATCTGTGACTAGATAAAATTCATGAAGCTATGCAAACAAAAATTTGCACAAAAAACTCTACATCTATGCTTTTAATATCAATCTCAGTCATCTGTCTCAAGATGTATGTTGCACTGATCTGCTTGAAGTCTGATTCATGCGAGTGAATCAGTTAATTCTAAATGCTCCTCTGATACGTAACATTGGAAAATCCGATTTATTTAAATTCATTTATTAATTTATCATTCATTTATTCCAGTTCATTCCAGTCATTCATTTATTCCAGTTTGTTTAAACATCCTTGTAAATGAACACACTGAAAATGATTCGATTGAAAGTCCCTACATGGCATTTTAAGTCTTTTATTGCAAAATGTTTTGTTTTTTAGTTGTATATAGTGTACATTTTGATGTCACAGTTTGAAATTATCATTCTATTTGAGTTTATTCACTCAAAACCCTTTGTGTCTTTTAAGTAACTTTAATGTAGCTAGCTACTTGTTAGCAGCTTATAGCTGACTTCCTTTTCAAAAGAGTAGATTGACTCTAATTTAATTACTTTAAATTACAAGTAGCCTGTAGCTTCAAGCTACATTTTAAAAGCAGTTTCTCCATAGAGTACAGACAGCAAAGACCTGCAAACAAACGTACAGCAAAATGGCAAGCGTCAGCAATTTATTTGTGGTCATTGTGAACGCTCCTCTTAGTTTAAAAAAATGGCCCGTTTAATCCTAAGTGTTGGAAGGATGCAACATGAATGAATATCTAAATTCTGACTAAAATGACTAAATTATGAAATTACAAATTATGTTTGGGTGTATTATCAGTGGAAAAATATATAATATGACCCCTTTAAAGTTCAATGCAAGATTGACAACAATGTAACTATACTAGATTTTTACATTAAACAAAGTAGGCCAGGTGACCTCTAACAAAAGCGATCAAACTTACATCCATCAGTGCTGCATTGATGTAATTGCTAGACTCGCCGTCAACAGAAATGAGGAAAGGCAGGCAGCGGTCCACCGCGAGGACGTCCATGCTGCGGTTCTTATCGTGGTTACGCGGGAGCAGACCTACGCTGCAGTCCTCCGGACGGACACGCGGTGTCACTATATTCAGAGTCTGAAGAAGAAGACATGAAGGACTGTAACATACACCTTTAAAACATAGAAGAACATTAGGCTGCTCTTGGTCTTACTTGGGGAAAAATGGTGCCTTTATAAAAACCAATTCCGCTCGCACTGCTGGTCCAACCACAAGCAATGCAAATATTTTAGCAAACTGAAGGTCAGTCATTACTTATGTATAAGACATACTGAAGAACAGAGACGTTGAGGGAGAGAGAGACAGACAGTGAAAAATAGCTTACAACAGAGAAAGATGCTGCGCTAGATAGAAAACGAAAGATCTGGGAGGAAAGAAAGATAGAAACATATTCATCATATTTTATGAGACACCTCACACACAGATCTGAAGCTTTGCTTCCCCCTCAGACGGTAGTGGCTCGCTCATTTCACAGGGAATACAAAACAGAAAGGCACCATGAAAAGAAATAGCTCAGCTCTGGGCTTTACGAGGCTCTAGCAGTTCGCCGATGGCTTGTAAAGAAATGCTTTCTCCCAAGACGTTTGAGTCACGGTGTCTTTACTCACCTGTCTCATCTAAATGCGTTAAGGACGCCGCAGCATTGACTTATTCAAAAGCGCTTCGAATTTCGGAGTAATCAAGATGAAATCACACCAGAGAGCTTGATAAAGTTGTTAGAAATATAGCTGTGAGGCCTTCAGCCATAATAGAGGACTACCAATCGAAAGCAAAAACTCTGGAGGATTCAGTAAATTAGGCTTCCACGTGGGCTACTCGTGTAGCTGCAGGAACACGAAGCATGAAGCTTAAAAAAATGTATGTTCTTACTGTTTTTAAGATTCTCTTTAGTATCTCATTTGCTCCTCCTAGACTGTAATGAGATTGAATGATGAGCAAATGGAGGTTGATCTACTGAGAAATCAGATTTCTATAGTGTCACAGATTGTGCTCAAAGTCTGAAATCAAATCTCACTATGAACTCAAACATTTCTCTTCAAGTTCTTGAAAGACTAAATGATCTGAGGTATGCTATCCACAATAATGTTTTAGGTCTTTACTTTTACTGCATGTCTGTAATTGTCTCATTTGTGTCTCCTGGGCTATGAAAGAGCAATTTCCCTCTGGACATATTAATTCACTTATTGTTTTGCTGTGCAAAGCGTTAACTGTTGTACTGATGGTATGGTCACATTTTAGAAGCAATCTACATAAGAAAAAACCAATCCATTTGTGTAGACTGCTCACCTGAAACTCATCTTTGATCTGGCTGGAGTTGGTCTGAGGGTCCAGTCTGCTGATGTTGTAGTAGATGGCTCTGAATTCACACACTGGGATAGCCGTGTTCCCACACAAACATGCTTCCAGTATGGCATCATGCACAAACACATACTGCTCCTGCAGAGAGAGAGACATAGAGATCAACACTCTCTATGTCCAATACTGTGGATGTCTTACCATGAGACACTTCTTTCAAAAACATAAAAAAAAACATCTGAACGGTAGTCTTTATACCTGTATGTGTGTGTGTGTGTGTGTTCTAAAAAACATAGTTTAATTTATTTTAACCAGTTTAATATTTAAATGTAATGCAATATCATATTTACAATTCAACCCTACTGAAGTCACTTTTAATTATCTTGCTGATTCAAAATTATTCAGACAGCCGGTAGCTTGTAGGCCACTTGAGGAAACCTCCCTTTGGCATTTTAGCGCCTTTTTTAATAATAAAAACAATAATCACAGCTCTAAAATAATTAAGGGCTTGATTTAAACGTTTACATTTTCAAACCAGCCAATCTAGGTAATTCATGAACATCCAAACACATACGTTTAAAAAGCCTGAGCTCAAGTTGAGAGTGATCGCCGCACAGCATCATAGCAAATCATCAGGGAAATATGGAGTTGATACTCCCCACAAATGTCAGTATGAGAGCGGTGCATGAACATTGATGCATGAAGCACAATTTGCTGATGGCGAAATGACTCCAGCCTCAAGGATGTTTTACATGGATTACAGCGTTGCAGCTTCTGATGCCGAAATCCTGTGGTGACAGCAACGTCCCCCAAAACCGTTCCAACTGCGGCCTTAAAAATAAGATCAAGGGGGCACTCAAAGCACCATCCCCATCCTGCAGCTAATATTAAACTCCTTCATAAACCCCGGCCCTGAATATGAGACGGAATTATCCATATTTTAACTCAACAATGCCTCCGGCTTAAAGGTTTGAATGTTAATGTAGGCCTTTGATCCACGCTAAGCTAAAGTCAAGCTGAGCTGACCTCTCGTACCTATCACTCCATAACCTGGTGAGCACTTCTGCGTAGGGCTGAGGACAAAAGACGAGGAAAAAGCCTTTTAAAAGATTAATTGCTGTGTGTTGTGTCAGTGGAGGATTAGCTTTGAATGGAGCTGCAGGCTGACACAAATTGCCTCCCAGAAACCATTATCCCCACCACTGTGTTTAGTGTTAGTCTTTTAAAAGCATGCTGTCCTCATCGCAAAAAACATGTAATATTAGAATGGATCGAATAAAATGGCATGTTGACTTGATATAGTGTGTTATTTAGTGAGCATAAATAATAATAATTCTAATAATTATTATTAATATTTAAACAACAATAATTTATTATTATAAATAATAAAATAATAATTCATAATTGTACTAAATAATTCAGCACAATGGGTTTTCACATCAAATGCTTGAATGGTTTTCAAAAAAAGAACGAATTTTCATTCACCACTAGGGGGCATGACTTTGAATTCCAACATCCAGTAAATTCTGGGTAGGAGATCTGCCTGTCAAAGCCAAGGTAATTTCTTGTTCTGGCTGTTCTGATGTTACAGTGTGGAGATTAATGTAGGGAAGAGAAAGGTTATCTAAGTTTTAAACTGAAAACAGATGGCTTCAATATCATCTTCACAGACTGGAGAGCTTAGTAGAAGGCTATGTGAGTATGAGTGAGGTTCTGAGGGCGTGATTGAGAAGTAAGTAAACTAGTGAATGGGTTAGTAAATGACTGCGTGTGTGAGTGAATCATTTAATATATGGATGAATGAGTAAATGAGTGAGTATATAGGCTGTGCATAATCTGGCTGCCTGAATGAAGCTTAACAGGCAGCAAGGTGCATTCTGCTCACCTCCGTCTGGACCATGTTGACTCTCTGTGAGCGCAGCTCTCTGATGCAGTTGAAGATGTCCACCACACCCTCACTCTCTGCCATGTCCAACATAATGTCCACTGCAATGAAGCAGCCTGTTCTTCCAGCACCAGCACTGCAGAAATTACACAAGAACAGGTTTATGTGAGGCTTTTGAACGCACAATCTATCTATCTATCTATCTATCTATCTATCTTATGAATGTGTTGTGTAATATCTATATATATATTACACAACACATTCACAAGACTGAGATTTCTGCTAAGATCCAAATGTTAGGTGTTACGAAAACAAGGTTCTGGCAGACCAAGATGCTTGTGTGTGTGAGAGAGCATTTGGACAGAAGATGTGCCATCAGTCACTCTAAAATGACACACTCACACACACACAAATACAGAGCAACTCCACGGTGTCACAGATTGGCCGACGGTGATTAATGGTGCGAGCGGTAAACAACTGACAAAAAGAAAGCAAGGGACGGAGAGGGAGAGACAGGGAGGATGTCCTTTACACCTCACATCCTCAGTCATTCATTCACTATTATCATCATCCCCAAATTACCATAAGTTATAAGCATACTGTATCATAATTGATATTCATCGTAACTGATACTCAAATTTCTAAGGCTTCTAAATGATCTACATGATCAAAACTTTTCTAAAAAAAAAAAAAGAAAAAAAAAAAGAAACAGTTGTACACATTCTACTACATGCCTTCTGTTGCCTAAATTGATAGTTTATGTTTTTTAGCAAGTAAAATGCCTTTTAGTATAATAGTGAATATGTCTCTCTTCAGGTCGTGGTTCTTCCTTTGCCTTGAAATCTTGTGAAATAAATATACAGATTTTTATAAAGTAAACATAAGAATACATTTTATATTGTTAGTAATATTTCAAGATGAACATGTATTGGACTGAAGCAACAATCATTAATGTACAGTATTGCATTGCATTATATGTTTTTTCCCCTATAATATAAACTACAGAGCTTTGATCATAAAACTACAGATATTTCTATGCATTTTATGTAAGTAGTCTGCTATATTGATATAAAGATCTCACTGTTTTACATTGTTTTAGACTTTGTCTTGTTTCAAAACACTTTCATAAAAAAAAAAGATTTGATCATGAAAAAATGATCATTTATTATGTCAGGATTTACAGGATTAATACATGCAACACTGTTTTTAATCAAATTGGTAAAAATTACACACTAAGAAACCTCAAAAATGACAACAGAGCTTCTTAAATGAACCATATTACTCTTACACTGTAAGTCCTCAGATGTCATATGATAATTTTGCGTTGGAAACAGTCCAAAATGTAATGTTATTCACTGGTAATCTTCCCCTCCACTATAGATCTCAAATTATTATTATTTTTTATTTTTTTACTTTTGTACATTACAGTTTAATATGGTATGTCAGTTTGTGTTGTGTCAGGTTTGATGACAGTGACCAACATTATTGGTGCTCACATATCCTATTACTGACTTTAACCCTGCGAGCTGCAAGGGCATTCTGCTAAAACTCCTCTTGTGTTTCATGGAAGTAAGAAGGAACATTTGGAATGTTCTGAAAAACTATTGCTTGAATCAAAATCTTAATCTCTGCACCACGAGCACTTGACACTTGGGCTAATCCGCTCTGAAAGTTTCTTTGTCACATCTGCTTCGTCTCTGGGATTGCAGGGCCGACTGCAAATTTACACTGCCACTTCACAGTCTCCTGCTGTCACCTTTCATTCTCAAACCTTCTTCCCACACGGCCCCCAATTACTCCCCACAATTGTGAGAGCGAGTCTGTCTATCCGTGCGTCCATCTGTGAGCACGACGTGGCCATGTTGTGGACAGATTCATGGGTGAATGTCTATCCATGTGCCGAAGCGTCCTACGTTTGTGTGAGAATGTGAGTGTGAAAATCATCTTCTCTTCTACCTCCCTGGGTTCTTTTACTTGTTACATGAGAAGTTAGTTATGCTGCCCAGCAAGTGCTCATCTGGACTGCCAAACGTTTGAGATAACATAAATATGTTTAAATACATTTAACGCAATCAATGCATTCACCTAATTTCACATTAAAGCGGTTTCAATTCACTCTACTCTCTTACTAAAGACTCATGTGACATGCTTTCATTTATCTGTAAATGATGGTGAAAGACCTTCTGAAGGGCAATGTTTGTAGGGTGGAATTTAACATCAACATATAAATATCATCTACAAGATCACATAGAGAGACCAGAACATTCTAAACACTTGTGGGTGGCAGTTTTTAGTATTATTTGTAAAACCATTATAATATTTATTAATAACTTTTTTTCAAATATATTTTCAGTTTTCATTTTAATTTTTCATAATTTTGTCATTTTTATAATTTTCTAAATAATATTTAAGTTTTATTTAGTTTCAGTTTTAGTTGTAGTAACTGTAGCATTTCATCTTATTTATTTCAGTTAGTTGCCAAGACAACACTTCTAGTTTTTAAAGTTGTAATATGTAATATTTTCATTTTATTTTATTTTATTTTTTATTTCAGCTCTTTCAATTAATGAAAATTTATTTTTAATAGTTTTAGTTAGCAATAACACTAGTGGATGGGCTCTTTTGACTTTAGCCAGTAAGCAACCTCTCAAAAACCCTAGTAACTACCTAGCATTTATTCTAAAATTCGAAATAATCAACAGACCTCTCACCGTTGATTCATAATCACACCATGAGTCCAACTTCAAACCAGAACCTTTGACTTACAATAAATGTAATTCAGAAGAGTGAGAAAGGGACATAAGGAAGTAAATGCAAGAGAGGTTTAGATAAGAGCGCACCTGCAGTGTACCACGATGGGTCCTGCGTCTGGAGCATTGAGGAACTTGACCTGGCGGATGAAGCCCAGCAGGCCTGTGGCGTAGCAGGGAACACCATGATCAGGCCAGCTGGTGAAATGGAACTGCCGGATTTCTCGAATCTCATGGTGACCCTTCTGCAAACAGGAGCATGTGGTGAGCTTAATATCAACAGGTGTCATCATCTGAGGGTAAGAGGCAGGTGATCATGGTAGAAGATGGCTAGGATTACAAGACCCAATAAATGCATGTCAATAACAATCAACACCATGTAGTTTTTTTTATAATTTTTGTTTTTTTGTGAGTGTATACAGTTTAAATACCATGATACCATGGCCACAACATTATGGACAGCAAAACAAAATAACTTTTAGAACTTTGTGATCTTCCCTAAAATTAGTGCAGAAAATATGATGAAATGTCAGTCAGGGCCTCATGGTCAAGTGTCCGAACCACTGCACAACTACACATGTGGTTCGAGCTGTGTGAGCGCTGAGGCTTTTCACACACCGTGTTGTGTTACAGTAGAAACATTTTCCCATTACTTCCTTACTAACACTTAATGCTCTGATAAGCTTTTAATTATAATTTGGGATTGAGAGCGGCATAATCCATGCCTGGAGGTACTGATACCACCATGCGAGGATCTGTGTAGCCATTTAATGCAGCTTGTGTGTGTGTCTGGAGAGTGTGTGTGTAACTGCGCTGCTATAGATGACGAGAGGTAACGGAAAAAAAAAAACAGAAGTCTCTCTGATGTCCAACAATTGAAATCCATGAATGCAATCCATACCTAGACACATAAGAACACTCAAAAATGGTCTTAAGGAAGAGTTAACTAATCCATCTAAAGCTGAATATTAATAACACCTTTCATAACATTTGACCACGACACTCTTGAAATCTAGAATACTACAATATGAGGGATTTGTGTCACAGATCTCTCCAAGAGGAACATGTAAATAAAAAAATAAAAACATTTCAATTAAAGAAAATTAAAGAAAGGGGGGGGGGGTGTCCTTAATTGTGACACAATGCAAAAACAAACAAACACCCTTAATGGTCCTAAAATTAGGTTTCATTTCCTAATGCAAAATATAATTTATGAAATATAATATATACATAATACACTAATATATAACTATACAATCTAAAAATACAATTTATATTAAATAACCTTTAAAAATGTAGTTTTTTTTGTTTGTTTTTGAGATGAAATGTGGCCCAGACATGTTTTCATTAGATTTAAACATCTGAGAATCAGGAGACTTAAGCAAAAGTCCCTGTTTGATATCCATTTGATCTCATTGCTGTCTAAGAGAAACCAGAAAACATCTCTTGTCATTTGAGACTAGAACATCACCCACTCATTATGAAGCACAACTATGCGGCGAGAGGAGGATGTACCCTAACAACTCTCTTTCAAAGTTGAGGAAGCATTTGAAAGGCAGCAGCCTCGTGAGACAGATGGATTGAGTGATTTAAGAAAGTTGCTGATGACATGCTGTTCCATACTGCATTCTCCCCCTCAAAAACGACTCCCAAACACTAATTTCTCCCACTATCAAAGCTTCCCTACATCTGTTCCGTTTGGATTACAACACTCAACAACAAAACTCTACCCGTTCCTAAGAGCTTTTTTTTGCAAAATTTTGTCTGTTGGCTTATGTTAAGATCTCATAAAGTTTGTTTGTTATAACATTGTGGTTATGTTTTTTTAATTTATGCATGATCTGACGTCAAGCTGTTCCTGAATGATAAGAACAATACAAGTGATTGAGTGAGAGATGCATTATGGGCTTAAACACAAGCTGATGGTTCATATGGTATGGATGAACATGAGACTGAACAAAGAGATGCATGCAGAGAGTGCTAAAAAGTTTATTTTTTGTAATGTACTTGAGAAACAGTTAAAAAATAATTTTAAAATATAATTTAAAAAAATTACTTATATATGTATTATATATGTGTGTACACACGTATGTATATTTTTTTCTCATTTTTAAAATGACTTTATTATTATTTGTTTTTATTTTTAACATTCTTTTTTATTTCTATAAATACTCTTAAATTGTTTATTAAACATTCATTATTACATGGCTCTGTGGAATACTTGATTCTGATCGGTCAGTCGCGACATTCTGAGGTATGTTATTCCTTGATAACAACCGGTAAAAGCTGATAACACAGGCTCATCCGGGTAACTGAAGTCGGTGCTATACGCTTGCTAAGAACAGTTTTTATTGGTGGAAGCTTTGCTTTTGGTTAGCTAATAAAATATTAAAACTCAATTCAATATTATGTGTACAATTATTTAATTATGTCATCCTGGTATCACTCTCTCGTTTCATACAAACGTAGCTGCTTACATTTTGCGACGATTGTTTTGCACACTGTAATGGATTATAAGATATAACTAACAAACTGGTAAGATTTAAAAAAATTTTCATCTTAAATATCTTTTATCGCCATAATTATTTATGTGGTGAAATGTCGTGTAATAAGTGGTTTGACTGCACCGTATCCCTTAAATGTCCGTCTAGTTTGAACTTGCCGCTTGCTCACAACTGCTGTCTTCACGGAAGATTTGCGTTCAAATATTTCAACTCAAATCAATATTTTGTGTCTAATTATTTACTTATGTGGCAAGTAGCCGTGTAATACGCGGGATAATGTACATCCAGCCGGTTGTTATCACAGAATAACCCCCTTCAGGGTCATACAAGACCCCAACCAGCTGGATGTACATTTTCCCTTACATTACATGCAGGCATATTACATGGAATTTTAGAAAATTCCATTTTAGAAGCATTTGCTTGTAAACTGATACAAGGAAACTGAGAACACCCGAGCAATGAAAAAGAACAAACTGAGACATTTCATATGAGTGCAGATGGGTTTTTACCTTCTGAACAGTAAAAGTCCTGATCACATATTCTGCAAGAGGCTCCGTTTCAATCAGCGTCACTTTGATGTCTCCATACAGCTCGGTCTCATCAGGCCAATACCGGACACATTTCACCTAAATGGACACATAGGAACCCGCACATACACATTATTACACAACACCTGCATCTTGATTTGTCTGGGTATTACTCTATTTTACAGCAAGGTCTAAGTCAAATTGGCATTTGCAGAAACTGTATTATTAAACAAGTCCCTGATGGCATTTTGAAAACACAGAGAGGTGTAATTGGCCACCTGTCAGACAGGATGTTATCTCTGAATGAACAACCCCTGTGGTCCGAGTTCACTGGAGCCAATCATTGAACACCTCTCAATTATATTCAACATGACATCAAACTGCTCTCGTTGGGGATATTGTGAAGGACTTGTGCACATCATTGTGCTCGATTTTAGGATGTCCTCCAAAATGCTTGACTCACTCGCTTAAAGTTTCCCTTGTATATAAAGCAACTTCCTGTTATGCTATTTTTTGTTTTCATTTGTATTTATTTGATGGGTCAAGCTCACGAGTTCTTGACATATTTTGTGAGATTCACCAAAGTGGTTTAGACTCTTAAAAATAAAGGTTCAAAAAGTTTTTTTTTTCACAGATATGCCATAGAAGAACTTTTTTTTTCAGCAAAACGTTCTTAAAAGAACCATTTTTTTCTTGGTGTGAAGAACATTTTAATAATCTAAAGAAACTTTTTTCCACTATAAAGTATATACCGGTATATATTTGTCCGATGGAATGGTTCTATGGATGATAAAGGTTCTTCATGGAACCATAGATGCCAATAAGGAACCTGTATGTTTTAAGAGTTTACAGTGCATCTAAGATTAGGAAATGGAACCAACAACGTTGACTGTGCTTGCTATTTTCTATTCTTTGAGATACGGAAACAAATTGCACATTTGCATGGATTTCTTGTTAGATGTTACTTCCAACACCCACCTCACAGATTTATATATACACTCCATTTAACAGGGAGACCATAGTTAAATGTGTAGCAATTGGAGGAGCCTGTGATATTTATTAAGGAAAGAGATAATTACAAGAACCCTACCCTGCCCACTTCCACCAGGTTGGTTACCATGACGATACTGGCAGAATTCTCTTGCCAAATCATCCTCCAGAAATCCCTCACAGTTTCCTGCATGGGCCCTACAGGAGAGGAGGAGGTACAAATTTAGAAGATCACGCAACACTCACAAAACAACTAGAAATAAGATGCAATGTTTGCTTATGGATTCCCAGACAGTCCCTGAGGGAGAGAGCATCACAGACCAGCATGAATGTCCACACTAGTATATCATGGGTTGTTCTTTCTTTTGAAGATGGCTGACCAATGCAGGTTAACTAATCTAAAGTACTTAGTATTGTATTGTAATTTTACAGTGTATTTTTATTAATTATTTGTTTTGCACTAATAGTAATATTGCAATATTATTATTATTTTTTAAAAAGTGGCTTATGAAAATGCAAGTGGAAAGAAAATTTGGCTTGTTCAAGATGTAGATGAGTTTCTTCTTCAGAACAGATTTGGAAAGATTTAGCTCACCAATGGGTCCTCTGCAGTGAATGGGTGCCGCCAGAAGGAGAGTCCAAACAGCTGATAAAAACTTCACAATGATCGACAAGTAATTGTGGGTTATACTGTTCTGATGAAGAAATAAACTCATCTACACCTTGGATGGCCTGAGGGTGAGTAAATTTTCAGCAAATGTTCTTTTTTGAACTATTCCTTTAAACTGTTCACTTTCTGGTGTGAGTTGGTTCTTGTAAAGAGTAAATCCATGTTTGAACACCCAAATTTTTCCTCAAATCGTTCAATCCTAAAAAAGTCTTTTTTCCCCCTCCTGTGCAGATACACTGTGGGTTATACTGTTCTGATGAAGAAATAAACTCATCTACACCTTGGATGGCCTGAGGGTGAGTACATTTTCAGCAAATGTTCTTTTTTGAACTATTCCTTTAAACTGTTCACTTTATGGTGTGAGTTGGTTCTTGTAAAGAGTAAATCCATGTTTGAACACCCAAATCTTTCCTCAAATCGTTCAATCCTAAAAAAGTATTTTTTCCCCCTCCTGTGCAGATACACAAACTACAGTAAAGCTAAACATAAACTAGTTAACTACACTAACAACTGAAAAAAACAACAACAACAACAACAGCTAAATACATTAAGATTAAGGGGGCGATATCTTTTTCAATATGAAATACTAAAAACAAATGATACCATTTCTAGCAGAGCTATGCTGATATTTAGCAGTGCTTACTTTGCATAAAAACAAACAGGATCTCAAATAGGGTGACATTCAACTTAATTTACAAACATTTTACACTAATACAACCAATAAAGCTAAAAACAACCTCATTTATAAATCAGAAGCGTATGAAGTGCAAAATGAATTCGCTAGACTATAAAACTGCATGCACAAACAATGCGACTCAGCATATCTCCCAGATGCATGCTGGAAACTAGAAAAGCTATGTACACTAGTACTGTCGCTACTTTTAGTTAGCATTCAAAAGCCAACATATAGTCTACTTAATCATACTTTATATTTTGGATATAGCGACAGATGTGTAGATTGTGTTCATGTCAGAAGACTTCTTTTGGTTTTTCCGATGCTGTGCATTTGTTATGTGTTTTGTTAATTACCTTGTGTGGCTATGTAGTGCCTTGGTCTGTGGTAGCCCTGGGAAACAGAACGAAAAAGGAAGATGAAAATTATTCAAATGAAACTAATTTTTATACCTGCACAAACCGCATGCAACAATGAACTTGCTTAAAGTAAACTTTGTTTGAATCCGATTCAGCACTCAATGAGACATTGTAATTTCACCTTTCTGACGCCTTGGGTTCATTAGCATTTTAACCACTGTGAAACAAATTGGTGACCAATGTAGCCTTGCACATGTCAGGCTTTAAAGCACCGCTGCGGTTTACGACCGGGTCTGTGGTACGAGTCCGTAATTGTTTTATTATCCGGAATGAGATTGGGTGGCCTGATTATAGCTGCTGCGGGGAGAAAAGCCTCGCGCTGAAGCATATCCACACATGTTTACTTCCCATTTTGTAATGATCACAATCATATCGACTGTGTCATTATGGTGTTTAGATCAAGTTAGTGGATTTGGAGCAGCCAAGGAAGCACTTTCATTTGAGCTGTCGCTCGCTGAGGACATGGAGCATTTGCTAGAATAATTTGCAGAAACTCAGCGCAGAAATCCCCTGTATCCTTCATTCGTTTTAAGCGAAGCTCTTAGGAGCGTAGCACATAAATGTCGCATTAATCTATTAAGCCCTTCTTTGACAGCAAAGAGTGAAGTTGTTCTGACATTTTAAGGTGGTTTCACAATACACAGACTTTAAAGGTCATGAAGGTAACACTTTATTTTAAGGACCAATTCTCACCATTAACTAGTTGCTTATTAGCATGCATATTGGCTGTATATTAGTACCTATAAAGCACATATTACTGCCTTATTCTGCATGACCATATTTTAGATCCCTTAATCCTACCCCATACCTAAGCATAACAACTACCTAACTTACTATTAATAAGCAGCAAATTAGGAGTTTGTTCAGGGAAAACTCTCTATTCTAAAGTGTTACTGTCATAAATACTATGTTCAAACTTTCAGATCATTATTTCATTATCAGTATGTGAAGCTTGTTTGATGTTTTAGTTAACATGAAGTAAGGAAAATATACACTGCTATTCTAAAATGTAGGGTTCGTCTTTTAAAAGAAGTCACTTATGCCCACTAAGGCTGCATTTATTTGATTAGAAATGTAATAAATAGAGTAAAATAGTGAAATATTTTTACAATAAAAAAACTGTTTGAATATATTTTAAAATGTAATTTATTCCTGCAATGCAAAACTGAATTTTCAGTATCATTAATCTAGTCTTTAGTGTCACATGATCCTTCAGAAATCATTCGAATATGATGAATTGGTGATCAAGAAAAAGTTCTTATTAATATCTCTGTTTAAAACAGTTATGCTGCTTAATATTTTTGTGGGAATGTATATTTATTCTTCTTATTATTATTGTTTGCTGAATAGAATCTTTAAAAGAACGGCATTTATTTGACAGATTTTTTTTTTTTACTTTTCAAATTTCTTTACTGTCACTTTTTATTAATTCAATGCGTCCTTGCCGAATAAAAGTAATTAATTATAATTTTTATAATACATTTGAATAAAACATTAATGAGTTGATAAATATCATATAAATAAAGTATATTCATGAATATAAATATTTAAATGAACATATTTGAATTTCTTAAAAAAAAGAAAGATGTGTATGTATGTATAATGTGTCATACTCACGTCTATATAGTTGGCGTTTATGTAGTCAGAGTGAGGGTCTCCCTCCAGCAGTTGCAGTCGGACACGAGTGTGATCGTCTGTGGGGTCAAATATTCACAGAAGAGCCGGTCTAAAGTTACACATACACTTTAAAGGGGAGCTATATACGCATGAGCTGGCCAGGAAACAATTGCACTGTACTGTACTGTACTGTATGCACAATGTCATTAACCCACGCAGGAGTTTTGTGTGTGAAATTACTTTTGGACAGAGAAAAATCACAAACTCTACAAACATTTCTGCTAATTTGCAGTTGTAAAACCTCAGCATAACTTCCTGCATAAGGAAGACAATTACAATTTTTTAAAAAATATCTATAATGATGGGGAACAGTTTTTAAAAAAGTTTTTGTTTCTAAGCAACTCAAGTCCGGGTTCCCTCAAGTTCAGCATTGCACTCTGTGAATTGACAATAAGAATCAGACCATTTTCCCATCCAACGAAGTGGATGTGCAGTTGGCCAATGATGTAATTACTCCAGCACCACCAATCTTCATCTCTCCTTCGCTATAAACACTTGACCTGCTAATGTTTAGCACGTGTACTGTGTCTTTCCACCCTTGAAAGGTGAAGCTGCATGTCTTGGCAATTATGACAACACTTCTGGAAAAGGGGAAGAGGGTGGAAACGGAAAGAGAGGAGGGGTAGAGGAAAGGTCTGACACTAGCTCCGCAAACCCGTGTGGCGTTCTGCTTTGATCACATGGAGAATGCAAATGCGCTGTTGAGGCATGTCGACTCCAAGCCAGCGGATGTTCTCTGATGGCAGGCAGCTCTGCAGAATCCCTCCTGATTTCTCTCCGTCTTTCTGTTTTTTCGTTCCGAGGAGAAGCAGGTCCATGTCTCCAGCTGTAAGTGGGTCGTGAAGGTTGTTTACTTTCAGACAGCCCCTCCTTCCTGTCCAAACCTGCTGCGTTTCTTATTCTGCCTGCTCAAAATTCACCAACTTATATATTTTTTAACTTCAGACTTTATTTGCTCCTTCTCTCTCGCTCGCCTCACAAACATCAGCTGTCTCTCACCGGCGCTTTGGTCTGTCTGCTGACCTCTCTGCTCCCCGAAAGGGAATATGCGCGAGGGAAGCAGAAAAGAGGGAAATGGAGGGATGTGGAAAGAGAGCGAGAGAAAGAGACGGGGCTAATTAGACGCCACTGAGTCCGTTGTCATAACAGCAAGTGCTCGGCAGGGATCTTCTCCGCAGTGAGGGGCCAGACACAAAGCTCTAATTGGGAGAGAATGACCCGACTACAGAAGAGTGCCGTGATGCATGGGTACAGCAGTTCTGAGTCAGCCTGCAAAACTATCCAGATGTCTGGATTATCACCTGTTTAGACATGAGTATGAGAGACGGTACAGTGACATGATGATGAGTAGGGTTTGCCTCAAAGTTGTCTTAATTCTGCACTGCTTGCACCACAGAAATGAGTCAGTGATTCCTCACGTCATGCAGTTAAATGAGCATCGTTGTGCCATTGCTTTTCTAAGGGGTTAGAGTTACTTTTACACTGCTTTTTTTTAAACTGGGGACATGAGCCATATCTAGCTGCTCTTTTGAATTGGGCCAGTAAGCAATGATCCAGAACACTCTAACAACCGCATGGCTACATCCTAGAAATCACTCAGAACACCTAAGCAAACATTTGGCAACACCCTAGCAACCACCCAGAACACCCAAGTAAATCTCAGCAACGTCCTTGTGACAACACACAACACTGTAACAACCCCATAGCAACGTCCTAGAAACCACCCAGAACACCCTGGAAACCTAATTGCAACGTCCTCAGCAACCACCAAGGACAACACAGCAACCCCATATCAACACTCACACCCCAGAACACAGTAACAACTGCACAACAACACCCTAGCAACCCCATATCAACACCCACACCTCAGAACACAGTAATAACTGCACAACAACACCCTAGCAACCCCATATCAACACCCACACCCCAGAGCACAGTAACAACTGCATAGCAACACCCTAGCAACCCCATATCAACACCAACACCCCAGAACACAGTAACAACTGAACAACAACACCCTAGCAACCCCATATCAACACCCACACCCCAGAACACAGTAACAACTGCATAGCAACACCCTAGCAACCCCATATCAACACCAACACCCCAGAACACAGTAATAACTGCATAGCAACACCCTAGCAACCCCATATCAACACCCATACCCCAGAACACAGTAGCAACTGCATAGCAACCCCCTAGCAACCCCATATCAACACCCACACCCCAAAACACAGTAACTGCATAGCAACACCCTAGCAACCCCATATCAACACCCACACCCCAGAACACCCTAGCAACTGCATAGCAACACCCATATCAACACCCACCATGTAGAACATCGTAGCAACTGCATAGCAACCCCCTAGCAACCCCATATCAACACCCACACCCCAGAACACAGTAATAACTGCATAGCAACACCCTAGCAACCCCATATCAACACCCATACCCCAGAACACAGTAGCAACTGCATAGCAACACCCTAGCAACCCCATATCAACACCCACACCCCAGAACACCCTAGCAACTGGATAGCAACACCCATATCAACACCCACCATGTAGAATATCCTAGCAACTGCATAGGAACCCCCTAGCAACCCCATATCAACACCCACACCCCAAAACACAGTAACTGCATAGCAACACCCTAGCAACCCCATATCAACGACCACAACTCAGAAAATCCTAGCAACTGCATTGCAACACCCTAGAAATCATCCAGAACAATCTAGTGACCTTCTAACAACATCCTAGCAACCATCCAGAACACCCCTGAAAACCGCATGGCAACACATTAGTACCCACCTAGAACACTCTAGCAACCACATAACAATGCCCTAGAAACCACCCACAACAGTATTGCGGTGTCAAGTTTTGCACAGGCAGACACTATCAGAGCATGTGAGCGGAGCGGCGCGTGAGCGGAGCGGGGAGCGCAGTGGTAATATTTCCTTAAGAGCGCAGAGCGCCTTTCTGAAGATTCCGCTCCGCTCGCTCAATACGCTCAGTGCCGCTCGCTCAACCCAGAATGCCGTTTGGTGATTTGCTTGTTCGAGATCAGAATCTGTAGAGATCGAGAATAGTAGAGCAGTTATGGAGTCCAGATATTGTTTCAACGAAGTTGCAAGCCTTATAAATGTAAAGTAAAAATCAAAGTTAAGAATGAGCAGGGAGAAGAAACTGAGAGGGAGTGCGGGGAGACTGTTAAAGTTAGTACAGATTCATATTGATTACAATACGTATACACGAAGATGTATGCAAACATGGTGCAGCAAAAGGTGAGCTAGTTACATACCATAATAAATGAATAAACAGGTAGGCTAAGGTTATATTCGGTTGTACGGAGCCCCGATCATGACATGCAGAAAAAATTACGGCCACGAATTTAGAATAGGCTAGTTCTCTTTTATGCTAGGACTACATTATGGCCACGAATTAAGAATAAATTTTTTTGTTTAGTCTAAATTATGGCCACGAATTAAGTATTCATTCTCTTGTTTAGGCTTAGCTGCCACGAATTCATTCGTTCGTTAATTCGTTCATTCCCTATAGTAGGCCTAAATCGTGGAACGAATTATTATATTTCGTAATTACTTATTAAAATCATTATTGCTTAAACTTAATAAATAATAATAAATTAATTTAAAAAATAATAAAACCTGCTGACGTCGTAGAAACGAATTGTTAATTCGAATTATATTCGGAGCTCCGTAGTTATTAAATAATCTCAGTTAAACTGTAGACCTAAGCTAACACACAGCTGTATATAGGCCTAAATACAGAACTACAGAGTACAGAAGATATTAGCCTACACCACTTAGGCCAATTAAAATATTATTTAAAAAAAAAAACTGACCCGAAACAATAGGTAGTCCTTCAGAATGTAGGCTAGATATAGGCAGCAGTAATTTATAATCTAATATAATGCACGCAAATTTGTTCTTTACAGAACGGAGCGGGATCTGAGCGAGAATTGGTTTACGGTGAGCGTGAGCGGAATATTAACGGAGCGCTTGCTTGGGCGGTTAGAGCGACTGAGTGGAGCACACGTCCATAGAGCGGAAAACGTAGCGCTTCGCTCACATGCTCTGGACACTATTCATGAAAAATCTATTTTAATCACATTTTTAAAAAACTATTTATCTCATTATGGTTGATGACCAGTATGACTGCAGCTTTTCAACAAAAAGATTTTGTTTGTACACAATAGTTCCAATATATTTTACATTATTCAAATGAAATCAGGCACTGAAACATTTTAATGTACAGCAGACAAGTAAGAAGAGAATATACTGTGAATTGAAAAAAAAAAAGTTCTAAAATTACAGTGGCCACCTGAAAATGAACGAATGACAAAGAAATTGAATTATATAGAAGAAGCATCTGCAAACAAATTCTGCACAAGCTTTTCTCCAAACTAACTTCACTTTTCTGAACCATTTTTGCAATGACTTTCAAGGTCACTAAGATATTTTAGTGCCATGAAATTCATTCATTTTTAAGCTTATCACAGTTGACAAATACTTTCTAAGGCCACTGCATCTGTTATCGGCCTAATCATACTGATGCATTCATTAAAAAAAAAAAAAAACAACAATAAAAAAACACATGCAGCTTTAGGCTAAAATCTCAAGACATAGTGGATCTCAAGTGCAGTCGTAACATTAAAAATCCTCTCTCATTTTGTATCTCATCCTAAAGGTAAAAACAAAAAGAACAACTTGGTACTTTTGTCTGTTTAAAAGTACCGCCTTCAAAATGTCAGCAGTCTCTTAATCAGCGCTCTTAAGCCTGTGTCCTCGCCGCTGCTCTTCTATAACCTCAGTGTGTTGTCAGCTGGCCCCAGTGCTTTATGCACCTAAACAGCCTATTAAATCCCTGCTTGGCAGAAAAGAGTTTCCAGTGTCAAATGGGCCGAGTGCTGTCGCACACACCTCGTGGCGTGAGAGCGAGGCACTCTAATCCAGTTTAATCCATTTCCATCCGCTCTGGGATAAGACGCTTTGCTCATG